AGCATGTAAATGCGATTTAGTGTAGAGTGGGAAGCTCTTGGAAATGTTGTAGGAAAGCCTGGATTTTCTTAGCTTTAAAGAGCATTCAGGAGTTTGCAGGCTTTCACTGATTATCACAGATTCCCATTGCTACAGTACACAGTAAAAGCGAATTCTTTCCTGCAAACAGTGGGGTCAAGAGCAGAGTGGGAATATTTTTTTTAATGATTTACCACCATTACTAGTTGTGTTCTCTCAGAGGCTTTAATTGGGAAAGTCTCATCTGTAATAAGGTGCTAAAAGGTTGTCTGCAGCTCTCCCCTGGAGCTGTAACGTCTGGCTGTAGGGACCCAGGGAGCACTGGTGTCCCACAGTTTTAGTCTGACTGTAGTTTCTAAGAAGGATCTGAAGGTGATCAGAAACCATTTGTAACGCTCAGTTTCCTGGGGAGGGAGCAGAGGAGAGGAAGGATACACACTTTTGACCCTTTGCCATGTTTGGCTCAGCACAGAAAGGAACATAACATAATTAGGAAGGAAGAAGTAACCTTTATGATATTACCAAAGTGCCAATAAATACCTTCAGAATTGCTGCTCTTATTGCAGTCAAAGATAGAAAAGCCAAATAATAGTTGTATACATTGATTTTGCAGTGCAACTATAGGCTTACAGGGCAGAATTCAGAAGATTTTCACATTATCAAAAGCCTTTATCTACAGAATTGTGTACATAAATTTCTAAATATTAATGCTCCTTTTCTAAATTTCAATAGGTAGTACGTATTCTTAACCACTTTGTGTTGTGGTCTCTGGAGGAACATGGAGGATAATGTCTGACTGGAATTCTAATCTGAGATATCACAAAACATTTGGCTAGGAAAAGAAATAAGTAACCACAATTTTTTCCTCCTGCCAAAATGACCTTTCTGTGTAAGAATTTGGTTCTGAATATTTCTAGAAGTGTCTGCTGTAATAAAGCTGCTCCCAGATCTTATGTGTTCTCAGGAAAAGGCAAACACAGACATTTGATGCATTACCAAAGATTGCAGCTCATACTGTTGCTTTGGTAGTGGTGGTGATGTGGAAGAACTGCTTTAATACTCTGTGCCTCGGTCTTTTAATATCTATGTCTGTCTGAATCTTCTATATATATAAATGACACGATGGGTATAACATTATTTCTCCTCTGTGAAACACTTCATTAGATCAGTGAGTAAAAATGGTTCTGTACAGGAACTGCACTTCTCTATCATGCGTGAGCCTAATCTGAGGAGGGCTTTCCAGAAGTCTGCCTACTGAAATGAGGCACAAGTTGAAAAGTCTGCTTTGAATGTTCTAAACACAGAAGTCTGAGAACCTTTTGTAGGAACTCAGCATGGTTTGGCAGTTTGAAAAGGGCAATGTTAGAGGTTTCTGTGCTGCATCAAAAGCATTGTGGCCAAAATGCAGCCTGATATAAAAGTGTTTGGCTCATTCAAAGGTCTTGAAAATATTTAGATAGGTTAATTTTGCAGTGGCAAGGTTTACTGGTTGTCCACTCTATGCTAGTTCATTTATAATATCTGTCTTAACTTGGAAGAAGTCAGCTGATGTTCTGTACTGCTTGATTTGCCTAATATGCTAGTAGTGTGATTATACGATTAACCTGAATTTGATCCAGCTTGTTCTTGCTGGATGATCAGATATCACATATATGATCTATCCACTCATGTATAGAAGACGCTAATCACATATTAATGATCTAATAATCCCAGTAGAAGTATTAAAATCTCTTTGAATTAGAACAGAGGTTTCCTTGGTACCATCTGGTCACCAAATGTGACGTTAGGCAATAACAGCTCTCAGTTTGTGAGAGTGGTAGAAAAAGATTTACAAAATGGTTTAACCTTTCCAGCAATAAGAGCATCATAACTTATGCATCTGTTCTGTTGCTATTTAAATAGCTGGAGGTTTTTTGCACTGATTTTTATTTGGAGTAAGATAAGATATTGCTTCGTTTGTCCTTCAAATCTATCTGTGTTTGTCAGCCAGTGGACAAAAGTTCTTTGGTGATGGCACTGTGTGTATTTGTTTGTTTTTCTCTTACAGGAACAATATGAAGTTGCTTTCTCTGGCACTCTGTGCAAACAGAATAAGTTTTGCCTGAAATTGGGAATGTTCTGTATCCAACCAGCATATGTTTTAGCTGAAATGTTTTGGAATCATATTCTTTGTGTTTATAATTTGATGCTATATTCAATTTTTAACTTGGCTCTAGTCTATACATGCACACACACACATACATGCAAGTGGAAATAAAACTGTTTGTTGCAGAACTCAGACTTTGCATTTAGTGAACATGTGAAATTCTGAGGAAAAGCCCATAGGCAGTTAGGACACACTCAAATCCTAGAGCCAGCAACATGGAGAGCCTTTTTTAAAAAGAAAAAGTATGTCATCTCGTCTTTCTATTTTTTGACAAATACATTTTGGGTTGAAATCAAACTGAGGAATAAAATAATAATTAGTTTAACTGCAAGTAATGATACATCTTGGAACGGGAAACCAAACTTCTGCGCCTTCTATTTTCCTTTCTCTTCCTCAGACTAAAGGAATTTGATTAGAGATTGGAACAAAGTGCTTGAAGTTTTCATTTTAATAATTATGGTAAGTAAAGTAAGTAAAAAGAAAGCATGCATTGTTTTTTGATTATCTTTTTATGGAGGTTATAACCAGAGTTGTTTTCTTATAGCTTTAAGCTGAGTTGCCACAAGCGCTTATTCTTAACAAAATAAGCATGGGCCAGATCCAGCGTTGTTCAAGCAAATAGCAAGATTTCCAGCAATTTCAGTATTCTTTTGATCAGGCACTTAATCTTCTAGAAAATGCTGGGCTTAAAAGGACTATTGTGTATATGGTGCTGACTGCATATAGAGTTTGGAGTTTGAATTTGTGTCTAATGGAGAAGAGGAAAGAAATTTGCTAACAGATTTTCTGTAAGTATTGTTTCACTTCATTTTCATTCTATTCCCTTTCCAGCTGTTTTTGCATAATAAAAGTTTAAGTGACTCCCCTTTAAAAGGTCTGCTTTTGTATTAAGGTATTTAAAATTCAATGTCTTTGTGTCAAAGAGATTTTATGAAAGATCTGTCCAGGCATATCCTGTAATAAACATCTGGAAAAATGCAGGGCTTGCTTAATGGTGGTTGTATAGCAAATATACAGTTTATCTGGCTGGCTTGACTTCAGGATTAACTTTCTGCCACTTTTCTTTTAACTTTCTGAATGCACTTATTTGTTTTGTGATCTGAGTATTTACGTGCTATTGTGGTGAAATAGTCTTTAATAGTCTTCTGGCTCACAGGTGTACAAACTGCACAATCCTGGGTTGATGCACCAAAGGCTGTAAGAAAGTACATTACATCTCTGCATGGTATTCACTGATTAAGTGCTGGAAGAGTAAAGTTGCTCATCTTTAAAGATAGCTTCCTTTAGTACAAAATGTATAGCATAATGAGTAGATTAGCCAAAAGCAAAGGCTGCCACAGAGGTAATAGGATATCATTTGTGTGTGGACCAGAAGTTTGATTAGGATAAAGCAAAAAAGAAAACATGAAGTTCAGCCGATCTGAAAAAAGCCAGAAGTGAAAGCCCTTAAACAGTTTGGGTAGGGAAGGAATTTAAGGTTTTTGCAAAAAGGAAAGAGGAAGAGCATATAGTTTGAAGAGTAAATAGTTTCAGTGGTAGTAACAGAAAAAAGGAGCAATTGCAGAAAATATTGTTAGAGAATAAGGAAATATATGTTCATAAAAATCACAGAAAATTTCAAAGGAAGGTTTTAGCAAATAAGCAGAATATGAAGTTGTAATCCCACAATGACATTTAGAGTCCTGTGAATGACCAAGGAAAAACATAATCCTTATTCCAAATGTGATGGTGCTGAAGGGAAAACGATCCGTAATGACAAAACCCCTGTCAGAGTTCTCCGCTGAAAATAGGAGGTTTTAAGAGAACAATTTGAAGTGTATGACTTAATTAGTATTTCCTGGAGAATTATTGCTGATGGTCTATGAACAGTTTAATTGAAGGGATGTTCAGAAATAAAGCCACGATCTCCTAGATTTAGCTACACTTACCCAAAGCACAGCTTGACTCTACAGAGGGAATTGTGCTGGGTCACTCAGGGTGGACACCAGCCAGGTGAGCCAGCCCCTCAGGGGTATAATGTGGAATTCAGTCCCTCCAATAATGAAAACTGCATTTCCACATGATATCTGTGCTGGTTGGAAACAGGCAAAAAAAGGTTAGTTGGCAAGGTTACGCCGTGAGCAGTGCAGCAGAGGGTGATGATGATGCAAGACTTTGAGGATGCTGGCTCACCTTAGGACCCACCGTCCCTCTGAATAAACTTCACCATGATGATTCCCTGCAGGCATTCCAGCAAAAAAGAGGCTTTACTTGAAAGGATAAAGTAAAAATGTAAATGGGAAATGCATGTGGCTACAGATGCTTGCAGGTGTTTGCTATCAGTCCTTTTAGTAGTTCAAAAGGCCCTCAGCCCCATTTGCTTCTGAAGGAGGAAAAAATTTGCTTGTGAGCTGTTTAAAAGTAATTTTGTTCTCATTTATGTGGGAAGATGAATTGCAACACTAAGAAAACTATTTCATTTTACTTGTGCAATTTTAAAAATATTTAGTATTCAAGGATGGCCTGTATCTGCTCATAGAAAGATGGTGTTATTGCTCTATTTTATCTGTTGAGCTCACCTCCAAAAAGTAGACTACAAATCAATAAGCAAAAACTCAGTATAACATTTTACTCTCTTACTTCAGTTTCTTTAGAAGAACCTACCTCATAAAGTTGTGTTTTCCACACACTCAGACTATCTTATATCTCAAACTGCTAATTAATGCCAGCTGTAACTAATTGTGACATTGGTATATGGTTCACATTAGGAACAGCAGGGCTATTTTAAAACTGGGATAGCTGTGGGTTGCTTTGAGTGGAGCCTTTTGTAATAGTAATGGGTCTTCCTATGGCAAGGGTCAGCTGTATGTAAGTTTTCTCAAACCAGGATTTTGTATTTTGAGGCTAATTGGGTATGTTTTGCTTTTTACTTTTGCATTTTAGTGGAGGAGCAACATAGAAATGCAAGTATTGTCTGTTTGTGTTGTCTGCTTTGTGCAATCTGAGGGTTCACGTTCTCATCTATATCCTGAATCTACGCGGGGAGATAAGTACAGCAAGCATTTTTCTTTCATCTCTTTGTCTTTTTCAGTCATTTGTGTGTCTTCTTTCTTTATTTGTTTCCATGTTTGTGACTTTGTTCTAATGAAAAAGGTGTTTTTTGATTTTTTGATTTTTTATTTTTTTTCTTCTCCCAGAATGTGATTCTTCCAGTATTTTACCACTTGTAAGTCTAGTCGTTTAAGTTTATCTCTTTGCTTACTTGGCAGATTATAACAAGCTTACTTGTTAAACCAAGGTTAACTAGCTGGAAGCACACTCGAAACTCTCTACCACCAACTTACTTTAAATTAGATATAGCATGTGTCTTGGGATTGGTAAGTGTTTTAGTTATGTGGTTATGGATGCGTACTGTGAAAAAAGGAATGCAGTAAGATTTAATTTTGCTGACATAACATGTAATATGGTTTCTGTTTGAAATTTGAGTTAGTAATTTTTATGGTTCATTTGCCAGAGTGTCCATATTTAAAAGCAGTGTATTTAGTGTTTTTTTTTTTTGTTTGTTTTTTTTTTTTCTCTCGTTAATGGGGGAAAAAAATCCAAAATACTTCTTTGAAATTCTGGATGCTATTAAATGTACTTCTGGTTTTTACGATTCTCAGTAAGTTTTTGCACTTAGATGGAACTAGCATTCAGTTTAATTCACTGTGCATTGTACATTTATATGGTTCTAATTTTAAAATCTGGGGCTTAATGTTGAAGTTACAATTTGAATGAGATCAGTAGGCAAACAACTTTTTCTTTTTGTATACATTTAGCTTTTTGCTCACTATGATGCTGATGTTTAGAGTTCAGATACCCTATTTAACAATGGCTAATACAGTGGTACTGATTTTGTCCCTGCTGTGTTCGTTATTAACCCCAGAAGGTAATGAAATTCTTATTAGACTCAGCACTGGATATTAAAAATGTGTTTGACCATGGTATAAAAAAAATAAGGAAAGCCTGCAAACATTTGTGAGCTCATTACCTTACTTGAAAACCACTAATGTACATGAGTAACATTTACTCATGCAGATTGTCTTAGTGAATTCAAAATCCCTCAGATGGGTAGTTGCAGAATAAGACTAAGAAGTGTTAATAGGAAGGCACCCATAAGGTACTGTAGACAGTAAGTTTTGATTAACAGCATATGTAATTAAATTAAGGTAATAGTTAATGCTTGACAATAAAGAACCGGAAGTTGGACTTAATTTGCCTATATATATATTAAAAAAAATATATATCTGGAGCTGCCATCTGTTCACAGTAGTTATTCCTGTTTTATGACAGCCAAAGCTGCTATGTCCATATTCCTCATACACCAAATTTAGTTGTTATGTACCCATACACTTCTTTGGGTGCCCATAGCCAGGTATGATACTCTGACAATGGGATATATACAACTGGAAAGTACTTACTTATATATATAATTATTTGTTGGTCAACATGCGTAAAATACAGATAGGATTTAAAGAGCTTCTGAGAGCCATTCGTGATAAGGCAGCTGAGAAAACTTTGCTGTTTTGGTAGGCATCATCTGAGAAGATGGAGTACTGTGTCATGTTAGTGTGGTTTCTATGGATGGTTGGTAGAGAGAGGGCACTCTGGGGGTTGTTGGTTAAGCCTTTCTAAGCCATGCATCTGTCTTGCATTTGTGGCTCAGGAGCTGGGCTGGCTGTTTCAGTAGAGAGGCCTTTACTGTGCTGCACAGCCCCTTCAGAAACTGAACAGCTGGAAAACCTTGTTGGATGCCTTTCCAGGAGACAGGGGCTCCCACACTGTAGTTCTATGAATTCACAGCAGGTTGAAAGTATGTGCATAATGGCTGGACTATAGGCCAGCAGACTCTGCCTCAGTAGCTAGTTGTCTTAGCAGAAACAAGGAAAGGGGAGCTAGGGATGAGCTTTGTAGATATAACCTACGTTGTGTTTTATGGAAAGTTTAGATGATGTACTGGTTGTATGCATGTTGTTGTTTTTCATAGGCAGTTATTTTGGTATAGATGCTTACTGGAGTAAATACACTGGGCTTTGCTTGGAGCTAAGTCCTTGTTTTACGAGATTGCTTTATGTACGTAACTTAGCTACTTGAATGTCAATTTTCAAAATAAACCATGTTTTAGTCATCTGTTTATTCCTCTGGAGTCTTGATAGATCTTCCACAACTGAATTACTTCAATGTGGGCCTAGATGGGGGTTAACTATTATGCACAGTTTTGTTTTAATGTTTGCATTAAACTTTGGAACCACTAAATGTGATAATTTCCATATATGCTTACGAGAGTTTCTCCTTGTCTAAAGCCCTTTCACATAAAGGGGTGTTATATATTTGACTCTTCTGTGCATGGAAATAACCTTTTTCTGGTGTTGTCTTCTGGAAAGGTGATATGTCTAGAACTCTTGTTATGAATACGTGCATGTATATTTGTTATATTACATGAATGGAACCTTTTCCTTTGATTGTAGAATCATAGAATCGTTTAGGCTGAAAAGGACCTTTTTAAGATGATTTGGTTCCAACTTGTAGTCTAATGAGTGTGGCCAACCAGCTGGCGACAAGGATGTAAAAAAATACGATTCTAGTCAGAAATGCAATTTGATGACAGTCCTTAAAAGTAGGCATATGTGATTACAGGTCTTGTTGGGGCCCTCAGAATGTTACTGGTAAGTAGTTGGTCCATGTATGCTACATCTTTCAGAGAACATTGTTATCAGAATCACAGAATATCTCTTGTTGGAAGAGGCACGCAAGGATCATTGAGTCCAATTCCTGTTTGCCTGTTACCTAAAAATCAAAACATATGTCTAAAAGCTGTGAATATATGTGTGGACAGGGCTCAGGGTGGATCTTGGTTTTATTTTTCTAGGCAAACTCAGTAAGGTTCAGGACTTCAGAGTTACTTGAATGTCATACCTATATTCTAGAGGAAAAAGAAGCAGGCAAACAAAGGCATGTTTTAGTATTTCAGGAATTTTTATTATCTCAAACTTTTTTACTCATTACTTAACAGCCTGCCAAGTGTAGACCGAAGACTTTTCAGTGTCAGCTGTTTGGAAAAACTGGGAAATGTCAGGTTGCTTTCTTTGTGATCTGTGAATTAAGTGTGATAAACAGGATATAATTTATGTTATGTTGCCTTGAACTGAGACGGCTGCAAGTTAAAACTGTGCAACTAAAACCTGTATGTGAGTGTTTTGTAACACTACTAGCATAGATAGACAACATGGAAGTGTTTTACATAACTATGTGAGGAATGTAACCATCTAAGGGGCAATAATGATTGTGTATGTGCATATCCACGTACCAAAAAGTTGCAAGATAAAGGCGGAATGTCCACCAAGTGCACAAGGCTGGCTGGTGTAATGAAGTCAGGCAATGTTGAAAGTGGATGGGATAAGGCCTGCTTTTGGGCAGTTGGTGTGCGGAAGTAAGTTGCGTAGAAACATTGAAGAAGAGGAAATGCAGAATTGAGGAGACAAATATAATCCAAAAGTTTAAAAAAAAAAAAAAAACCTCACTAAGTATTGACTGTTGCAGTAAGGGCAAGTGCTTTGTTGTGATTTAAAAACTTGTGCCTTCTCCTGAATAAAAGGCTCACAAAACTGACAGAGCACATTAAATCACCCTGTATGCCTGTATGTGTTTAGCCAAAAGCCTAGGAATGGCTAATCACCAACAAAGCAGTTAGACCACTTATAAGGCTCATAATAAACATTACAATTCATTGTTCACATGAAGTCAGTGGTGTTAGCTGCTGGTGCAGCTGGTGATCCTTGGCTTAGCTCCTTGCTAGGGAGCAGAATCACAACCTTCAGCATGTAAAGATGTTGGATTAGCCTCAACATACAGTGTTCTCTTGCTTTAAAACAGTTTAATGTAAGCATTCCAGGTATGTGTTTACTGCTTTTCTTGTTTAATGACTGAATTACTGCTTGGGAATTTACGTGCTTGCACAGGGAAGTTTTGTGCAGTGAAAATGTGGGCATCCTTTATCTGCTTTAAAGATGTGATCACTTTTTTTCTTACAAGTCTGTTACAAATAGAATATGGAGCAGTAACCTTTGCTCCCAAACGTAGGCAGTAATCTAATTTGAGCAATGGAAGCTGACTTCTTGAGCATTTGGTGAAACTTCTAATCCTTCTGGAGAGATAATTGTGAGTTAATTAAGAGCCAGAATTCCACAAGGCTTATTAGCTGTCTAGCTGGATCTGAGAAGCAGAAGGTTGAACAGAGTTTAACTAAAATTTAGAACTATTAATTAGTCTCCTTTCTTTCTGTTCTCTTTTTTATTTTCCTGTTTTTGGTTTGTGTAGCACACTTTGAATGACCTGTGAGAAACTATTGTGTTTCTGACGTGATAGCTCCCAATTGTAAATGCTGTGCTTTACTGGCTGTGAAAGAATAAAGCTTTAAAAGAGCTTGGCTTTCCTTAGATACAAGCTAGCTTGTTATAGAAGAAGAAATGACAGAAAGTGGAAAATGCAGGCTGGCTAATCTTGTTAAATTGGCTGAATAATGTTGCATTCAAGATTCCTGAACTCCATGCTGGAACACACAGATGCTTTAATAAACTTGAGCTTGTCTTGCTTTAGCAGTCTTTGCAGGGTTCAGAAAATGTTTGATACGCATATGGAAACTTATGTATGAAACTCTTCCTTATGGACATCACTTTTTATAGTTATGGGGATTTGTGAGCATGCAAATGCTTTACTTCACTGATAGGTGCCCGGGCAAGGTCAGAGAGGGGAGAGTAGACCCTGAAACCCATGTTAGTATGTGAAAGTTTTTTAGATGACATGCATAGGGGTGTGAACTGTCTACTGGATTTTCATTTCAATATTATGATTAAATTCAATTTCGAAGATGAGAGGGATGTCAGCATACGTATGCTGTGATGCAGTACAAAAGTCACTAGGATTTGTTATGTTGTGAGACATGCTGAGTGAAACAGCTGCTATTCTAGCTCAATAGCCCCTGTACCCCCCAGTGAAATCATTTTGAGCCTGCTGAGCAGGAGCAGTTTAAAGGTCTACTGTAGAAGACACAAGAATTCTATTCATTAACTACACTTGTCAGAATCTGCTTTGCGTTTGCAACAAGGAATACAGTTTCATTCCAGGGGTGTAGTTAACCCCTTTAGTTAACTTGGTTTCCGGCTCTGTTCCTCATGTTTAATGCCTCACCTTTATGTGCTGTATTTTTATAATCACTGAAATAATGTTTATATTTTACTTTTCAATTTATAGTATGTTTTGGCTAAGACATTTGCATTCATATGAATACTTCAAAGCTGGATCATAGTATTTGCCTAATACAGGCACTGCAAAACAATATATATTTGAATTACTGATTGTGGTAATCCAACTGATTTCAAAACAGTATGATTATTCTGTTTTGTTAGTTCACATCTGCAGGAGAAGGCCAAGTGGGAAAGGGAAGTGGAGTAAGTGCAGTGCAGCTAGCCCTTGAATTATAAATGGAAGAGTTACTCAGATACGTAAAAGCATCCCAATTGCTCAGGTTAGCTCAGCTTTGTAAAAGCATGATAGCCATACTACTCTTATTGTCCCCAAGCTCTTGGCTGTGATTTCTTCCTTTACTTTTAGCTATCTTTCCACTTTTAAAAAATACTTTTTTGTTGTTAAAGATAGCCTAAGTATATCTCTAATCTAAATATGAGGAGCAGATGAACCGGTAGTGTGCCTGACCTTCACTGTGAGATTCTAGGTATGCATGAATGAGAATCCTAAAAGCTCTGTGAAAACGTGCAGTTCTTTTTGGCAGAGTTTGAATTGCTTCCAGTGCTAAATCTTGGGCTGGCTTCTTGTTGCTATGCTAGTTTTCTGTTAAGTGGAGTGCACAGCTTTCTGATCTGAGAGCCAGTTGGCAAGAGTTGCTTGCTTAGAACGTTACTGAATCCTTTTAATTTCATTTTAAAGTTGAAGGATTGTTTTACATACCGTTGTTCTTAGACTTCAGGCTCTAAATAGTGCCATTTTGGTCCACTGAATGGTATTCTTCGATAGAGAAGTGTTTTATTACCAGATTGTCTTTAGATGATTGACTTAACGTGCTCTTTGGATGGGAAAAGTTCAGATCTTAAGTGGAGCTGCCCAGCCCTGTTTGCTTGGGGAACATCATAGAATAAATGCTTTTTGTACCTCCTGAACTTTAGAGTCCCTCTGCATTGTTGGTATGTCCGAGATAGCATTTATTCCCAGTGCTCAGTTACAGCAACGTAACTACAAGGAGAGATACTGCCTAATTTCATCAGTTTAAGACAATATATATGTAGAGGCATTACATACTGATAAAAGCAGTTTTAGAAGAATGTGTCAACAGAGAGAACTCCACTGAATTTCACAGCTTTGAAGAAATTACTCAACTGGTACCCCTATTAAAAACTATGAACTAGATATTGTTCGGAAGCAGCTAGTTATTTTAAAAGACTATAACAGAAGATTAATAACACTGTAAAGGTAAGAAAAATCCTTTTTTTTTTTTTTTTTGAGAAATATTTTAGTAGCATAGTTACATTGTGTTGTAGAGCACCTTCTGGAATGTTGTCACTTGGCTGAGTAATAGAATCATAGAAAATATACAGCTGTCCACTAGGAGTTAAACAAACGCATATCTAAGTTGTGGAGCCATACTGTAAAATCTTCATTTTTCTAGACAAAGCCAAAATAGATGAATTCTGTTATTTTGTGGTCCCCTTTGTTGTAGGATAAACTTAGCAAATTTGCTTAGTGGTATCTGGTGGATTTAGTGTAGGACTATGGAGAGCTGGGTCACTTACGTAGATATAGATTCACATGTGTAGATGAAGAATCCACTCTGCATCCCAATTTCAGCTTCCTTTAGCAGTCTGGAGAGGAGTTCTATAAAAAGAACGTTTTAAAGCTGCACTTGATTCACTTCTGTAACATGCAGTGGGTAAAGGAACAGAAGGCTCACTTCCCAAATCTGGCATGTCCACTTTTTCCTACCAGAGTTAATTTCAAGTACGCCTTCAAAGAAAGTATTAACTGAAGAATCTAGGCCAACTGTGAGCATCCTATTCAGATCCAAAGACACTGACCTTATTTTCCTAGTCTTGGTGTGTCATTAATTTGCTTGCGGATGTACCCTGTAATTCTCTTTGCTGAAGTAAGCTTAATTTCTGAATCTTTCCTGGCAAATCACAGGTGCCCTTAGAGGATGTAAGTTGTAAGGGCTGAATTTGTCTGTTTTTCAGGCAGAAAACAGAAATACCTGAAGTTTTACTAGGCAACATTTATGTTTGGGTGGCAGCATTACCCAAATAAGGAACGTGTACGCATCTGAAGTGATGGCATCAGCTTTCTCAGTGTTTGAAAAAATGACAGCAGGCCCTTTCTGACATATACGAATTATCTTGGAAATGAAATCTGTGAACTGAAGAAGGAGATTAGCACATGGAATGGCACCTTTTTGTATAGCTGGGGTATAACCCAAACTGTAAATCCTACTGAAAAGAAATTGTACAAATCATTACAGGTTTCCAGTATTCACAGTAACTGAACCTGCATGACCTAACGCTTTTTTATTTTAAAAAAATTCTTGCAAGTTGTAGTCAAATGAATTATAAAACTGAAAATCCTGTTTAAGTGTTTACTTACTAATGGTTACATGGCTTAAAGGCTTTAGAAAAAAAAAAAATTGCTAATGGAATTCACAAATGCTTTATACTGTAGTTGAAAATGCTATATCTACATCCCAGTTCAGATCTGATATCTGACAAACATATTTAGCCTTTGTGACTTAATCCTGCTGCATATGTATGTGTATATAATATTCAAAATATATTTTCAATGGAAATTGAATATCATTTAATATCTGCATTAAAAGTGGGGATTCATGAATGATAAATTGTTCACCTTCCCTTCCTGACCTAGGAGATGAGCCGAAGAAAGCCAGTGATGATATGTTGTCAAGGTAAAATGACATTGTTTAGAAAAGGATAATATTTGGAGTTCCTGTTTCAATGAATAACATCAGTGCACTGTTCACCCCATCAGACAGCTCTGAAAAACAAGCTTTCGGAAGGTCACAGGCTTGAGTTTGTAACCTTGCTGCCATTTGTCTGGTAAGATCTCTCTTCACTGTAAACCTGAATGCGTTTATTAGTATGGCAATAAAGAGTGTCTGAAGAGAATATTAAAATAGTCCCTACTGAGCCAGGAAGGAAATGTTGGTTTCTGAAAGTAGAGGAGCCCATAGACCTGTTGGAAGAAAAGGTCATTTTCAGAATATGAATGGTACTTTGGGAACGAAAAGGGGCACTCTTATGAAAGAAAAGGGGTTGTAAAGGAGAGGAAAAACATGTTCTATCCTTTGCTTCCACAGGGTCAAAACAGTGTTTAGCAGTTCCCCTTTAACAAAAAGGGACACCTGCAAAAAAAAAAAAAAAAAAAAAAAAAGCAACTCACAAAACCCCCCCAAAAATATGTTGACTGTTTAAATAAAAAATAATAATAACAAAAAAGATTTTTCAGACAGCTTGTAGAGACAGTGAACTTGGAGAAAGGCAGATAGGAGATTAAGCAATTATTTGCATTTATATCGAGTGATCTTGGAATCCACTAAGGCTATTTTTGGTTACGGCTTCTTGAACTGGGGAAGAAAAGGCACCCCACTTGCTCTCTATTTTAGGACTGTAACTTAAAATTGCAGTGGAGAGATACATCTGTTGTGTCCAATTTACTTTAATAGGACTTTGAAGTTTTAGACATCTGGTCTTATGCTGTCAGTGGCAGGAAAAAGCTCATAGCTGCTCTCTGGAAGCTATTAAGTTGCCAAGGACAAAGTACAGGTTGTTTTCTGTCTATTTATCTGTTTATATCAATTTATATGTAATCTGTAAGTTTGTAAGGGAAGTTATCTGGCTATATATGTGGATCTCAAATTGATATGTTTAGAGCAAAAGAAAACAAGAGTCCTCCTTTATCACTGTATAGAGGTAGCGTGAGAGAATGGCTTGGATGTGGTTGCATGTTCCTATAAAGCATCTGAGATCTAAGTTCATATATCTGCTTCAATGCAGTAAGCAAGGGTAAAAACCTACCAGGAAACCAAACCAAAGCAAACATTTTTCTTAAATCTGGGCTAAGCTGGATCACAATTTAAAGTACAGCAAAAAGCATGACTGAATTCAGTTTTTACAGGTGTATGAGGAAGAACTAAAAGACAATTTGTGTCTAAATGACAAGCTGGTTTTTTTCTTAAGCAATGCTTAAAATCAGAGGTGATGAGAAAGACTTAGTGAAACTTGGGAGGTGGGCACTTAGTTCTTCCTCTGAGAAATTCATTGGTAAGTGAAGTTAGAGGGTATGCTGATATCTGCTTCTCTAGATGTATCTAAATTGAAAAGAATAGGCAAACCTCTAGAGTATGTTGGTTTGGTTCCATTAGTACTCCTTGCAGAAAATCAGTGATATAAAGATATATGCTAGCTGAATCGCTTCACTTTTGTCTACATTTCTTTGTATGCAGGTGAACAACCTGCCATTGTTTGTACAACTCTTACAAGACTCAGTTCCTTTAGATGTATTGATATTGCTAGAAAGCGGCGTACAATGACCTTGAGGTACTGAAGCAGTTTTCTGCTATGTTTCAGTTCATTTTATGTTGATAAATGTGATTGCTTCCAGTGAGAAAGACAGCGCTCAAGTTAAACAAATGCTGCCGAGGTGGGTGGGCTCTGAAGGTGCTTCCTCTGCTTCCATGGATACAGGTCATGCAGAATTAGGCGGTCTCACCCACACTGTGGAAGATCAGCAAGTTTCAATTTTTCTTTGAAATTTAAATGATTAGCATCTCAGCTACTTGAATAAAACCAAGCAGATCAGAGCTGGCATAGAGCTGGGTTCTCCCTAACCTGTCTTCTGAAGAGTGCCCTTTTTGTTTCATATCTTCCTATCAATATACCTCCTCTTTCTGCCTTGTCTTGATTTATCCTTTCTAAACTTGTCAGTGAAACCTGACAGCCCTGAAAAAGCTTTCATTTGTTAGTAGGTTTTTGTGGGCACATTAGACATAAAGGTCACTCAAACACAGATTTGCTGTTCTGCATCTGAGCTTTAAATGCTGTCTTGGTTCCAGAATTTTATGTAAATGAGTTAGGATAGTATATTTATTACCGGGGAAAAGACAGAGCAATCAATTTTAAAAAAAGCAAATGGTGCTGTGCTCAATCACACATTTTCCTGCTTAAAAATAGCAAGTCAAGTGCTGGAAGTTGCTGAAAGCTTTCAGTCTTAGCTATTAAATTAGGATTTCACTTTGAGTGATTCCTAGGATTATTTCTCTGATTTAACCTACTTAAGTATGTCTTTTTGTACTTAATTGTGTTGTTACACAGCAAAATACCTAAATTGCTCTTTTTCTGTGGAAACAGTGCTCAATATTGCTGAAATTGGCGATGTTATAGTAAAAACTGTGAAATTAGGTTACAAGAGAATTTTTTTTCTCTCCAGGAGTTGTTTGTAGTACATCCTGCAAGAAATCACACCTGCTGTCCTATTAGCTTCAACACAAATTGTTTGGTATGTAAGAAAACCAGCTGACTGGTCCAAAGAAATTCTAGAACAGTGCTTCTATGTTATGTATTAGCAGTAATGTTCATTATGCATATGTATTTTCTGTTGAAGGCTTTAGTGTTAATTTTTAGGTTTTCAAATCTGTTACAATGATTTTTTTTCCTAAAAATAGTGAATTTTACACTTAATTTTACACGTAATAATTCATGGAAAATATGTTACTTTCATCACCCTAATTCTATTTATTGTTGTTTAGTAATGACAATGGATATTAAGTCACCTATGCCATATCTATCTGGCTGTATACTTCTTAAAAAAAAAAAAAAGTCTTGCAGAAGGCCTGGTGTTGCCACAGAAAAAGGTCTACAGGTGATTTTGTTAAACTGTAGAACATCTTGGGTTGGATGGGACTTCAAAGATAAGCTAGTTCCAATGCCCTGCCGTTGGCAGGCTTGCCACTCACTAAACCAGGCTCCAGATCAGGGTGTCCAGGGTCCCATTCAGCCAGCACTTCAACACGGATGGGGCATTCATTACTTTTCCAGGCAACTTGTTCCAGTGCCTCACCATCCTCTGAGTGGGGAAAAAAATTCCCCCTAATCTAAATAATTTAATTTAAATTTTCAATTTAAAGCCATTTTGCTTTGTCCTATCACATTCAAGCCCTGTAAAAAGGTGGTCTCTGTCTAAATGCCCTTTGAGTTCTGGACGATTTAGTTGTTGCTGAGCAATGTCTATGCATTGCCAAGGACTTTCTGGCTTTTTATGCTGCTCTGCTAACAGTGAGCTAGGGGTGCGTGGTAAGGTGGGAAGGGGCAGAACCAAGACTGCTGGCCCCACTGGCTAGAGGTATATCCCATTTCATGTGGAATTATGCACAACAATTAAAAACATGGGGGAGTTGGCTGGCAGGACTGCTGACTGGGGACTGGCTGGGCACTGATTCTCTCATGTACCACTGCACTGTGTATCACCTGTTTGTGTTTTTTCATCATTTTTTTTCCTTTTCTTTCCTATCTACTGTTTTTGACACAACCCTTGAGTCCTTCCTTTATTTTTTTTTTCTCTTTCCCCCTCCTGTTTCTCTTTCTCATCCCCGTGGAGCCAAGAGAGTGAGTAGATAACTGTGTAATGCTTATCTGTCTGCCAGGTTCAATCCAAACGAGTATCAATTACACCTTTTCTGGAAACTCATCCAATCTTTTGCTAGTCTTCCATTCACCTATTATCTCAGAATCTCTCACTAGACCAGGCTGCTCAAAACCCCATCCAGCCTGGCTTTGAATTCTTCCAGAGACAGGGCATCTACAACCTCTCCTGGCAACCTGTTCCAGTGTCTCACGACCTTCGTGGTGAACAATTTCTTCCTAATATCTAGTCTAAATTCTACCGTCTTTGAGTTAAAAGGTATTTCTTCTGTCCTGTTTCTACCTGCTCTTATAAGAAGTCCCTTCCCAGCTTTCCTATAGGCCCCTTTAGGTACTGGAAGGCTGCTGTGAAGACCTCTTGGAGTTTTCTCCTCCCCAGGCTGAAGAGCCCCAGCTCTATCAGCCTGTCCTTGCAGGAACGGTGCTCCAGTCCTCTGATCATCATTGTGGCTGTTCTCTGGACCCACTCGAGCACATATTTTTCTTTTGCTAGGGGCCCTAAATCTGGATGCAGTCCTGCAGATGGGGTCCCATGAGAGCTGAGTAGAGGGGCAGGATCACCTCCTTCGACCTACTATTGGTCTGAAACTATTTAAACTAATATCTCTTGTTTTCTTTTAGGATTATTAAACAATGGAAGAAAGCAAAGCATAATGTTGTGGTATTTGAACTGTGATGGCAAATATTAATTTTGAAGAATATTTGCATGGAGAAGACTTGATCTCATTTTCCTCTGATGTTGGTGTTTTGCTTCTCTAAATTTGACAGTATAATTTTGAAAAGAACAGTAGTATAGAGACTGTGTTCACTTGGCAAAATTAGTTTGGATTGAGAATCTTATTTAAAGTAACAGCAAACAAAGCAGTAACGAAACTGTAATGTGGAACTCTAAGGGAACCAGTTTAACAAAAGATTGCTTTCCTCATTTTCTTTTTAAAATAGAGTAGTGTCTCCTATTGATTTGCAGTCAGGTGCCAGACGTTATTACCACTAAAATATATCCCAAGTAAAAATCAATGCACACATACTATAGTACATTAATTACTACAAGTTTTTTTTTGTTCCCCATCTAGGTACTTACTGATTCTGTATTAGGGCTTCAAATGATGAAAATGTGATGAACCTTCCTACTTTAATATGTCATAACATTGCTTTACCAGTAGAACTAACTGGCTGACGACTTCAAATTTTCTGTCAAGTGATGCTGTGATCATTGCTTACCAGTTTTTGAAATCATTCACCTCCTTCTAGGATACATTTTATAGTATTTAGAAAGAATCTTTACAGGATTAGCAGAACATGCATGTATCTGAATCAAGGAGCTACTCAATTTCCATTTAAAAAAAGTGCACTTTGAATATTTTAAAGCTGTTTATGTGCTTTATTAAA